ATTATGACTTCAACTTTCCACTTTACGTGCGTCCCTGCAGAGGGAACAAAGCACCATCATAACAGTTAGCATTCTTGAATGATGTAACCTGCTTTGCTTAGTACTAAGTAGAAATCCTTGAGAAAGGCTGACATTATTTTGTTAGAGCATTAAAAGTAAGAGTTGCGGATTAAGTGATACTGCACAATCAAACTGTGGAACAGAAAAAGCTGCTTATCCTGTTGTTTCATGCTTTAAGGCATAACCAAATCACAAATCCTTTCAATGATTGCATTACCATTGCAAAGTTTGGTTTACACGCTGAGCAACACTGTACTGAGTTTTTAAAGGTCTGAGACCAGTTTACTTCCCTTTCTCTACCATTACTTCATTGTTAGATCTAAGAATATCCAGTAGTTCTTGGTTTGAAAGTGTATAAATTGTATATTGGCTAAATACAGCTTACTAAGGGCACTGATATAGATTACTGCAGCACAAATATAGAAGCTTATTGCTACGAGCTGTTAATTAGAAACTCCTGAAATTCCCCTACTTAAGAATCGATCATCTTTATTGTCATTATGAAACCATAAGATGGCGATATAAAATTTTAGGCAGTTTGGCAAAGCTGGATTCTTTGGCTGAAGTAACCTTCATTAAAAATCTCTTTTATGTGCATAAAACCATTACAAAATGATAAAAAAAAAGCTCTTTATTGTATAATTTTATTTAAATTTCCTTTGTTAACTGAAAGATTTCTTCTCAGAAATAAATAGATTTTGTCATGATGGGTTCACTAATAGCGACCCAAGTATGCAGAACACCACTGACGGACACAGGGATAAAAGTTCAACAAGTTTATTTTAGCACAAGCACACAGAATGTACTGGTTCTGGCTCGGGCCTGGACACTGGTTCACCGGAGTCTGCGTGAGAGACAGTTCAGTTAGCGTTGCAAGCTGGAGCTTGAATTCTTGAAGATAACTGATTGTACCTTGAGGGTTCTTGAGGTTAACTTTGGGAGAGTCACTGTTGGATCTGGAGAGGAGTTCATCAGCAGAGTCCGCTTGCTGCTTCAGCGTCTCACGTCTTATCATGAACAGACCTTGGCTTAGGGTTTTCCAGCTCTTAGTCCTGGGCTGCATGGAAGTTCTCTATGATTCTTCAGGTTTGGCTCTGAGGGTCGGCTCGGCAGGTTAGCTCTTCCTGAGCTTCACAGAGGAGACACTGGTTTCCTGGAAGACAGAGACAACGGTTAGAATCCAGGCTGGATTCAAAGTCACAAAGTTACGCTGAGAGTCTAGGCTTAGGCGCTGACCAACTGGATCAACACTGCGGCGTTGAGGCAAGGTCTGAAGACAGCTTAAGTAGTGGATCCTCTGATGATCTTGATGGGCTGCAGCTGTGCAGGAGGCTCCCTCAGGAGGATCCACGGCGGACTCTGCTGGAGAAAGGTGGAACTTCTCCAGCTCCCAACAGATTTAGGCTAACAGAGTAAACCAAATATTCCACAAAATAAAGAAAGCAACAAATAAATACAGAAGATACATTTAGACAGACGGGTAGAACTGGGGGAAGTTGACACCCCGCTCCCCTGCAGATCTGCCTCTGGATGTATCTGATAGGCAGCAGGGGTGTTTGTATGTATGTGATCTTGTTTGTGTGTCTGATGAGGGACGTGTCAGTTGTATATGCAGCAGGTGTGAAAGCAAGGATTAGGTTGAGAATAAACTAGGTAAATGAAATGCAGAAAAAGCTAATGTGAGGACAGAGATTTGTCTCTCTAATGATTTGAATGCAAATTACTTTAGATTTTATAAAAATCATTGAGTGATAAAACTGATACTACTTGAGCTAACCCAGGATAAGCGGTACTCAGGGGGTAAGGTTCTGGGGAAAACTGTTTGCAAAAGGGAGGGACATTCAGTATAATTCTTCAAGCTGATTCTGTAAATCATCAAGTTGCACCCTCCTCCCATGTAGAGCTTTAACCAATCACAGCAGCAGTAGCAGCTGTGCTACATCATCCCTGCTTTGTTTTAGAACTAGCAGAGTTAACTATAAACATATAAAGCCTTAAATGTTCAAGCTCCATCCTATATCAGCGATCTGATTGTTCCTCTTTCAGACTGAGAGCTCTTCCGCAGGGTTACTAGTGGTTCCTAGAATTTCTACAAGTAGAATTGGAGGCAGATCTTTTAGTTCTCAGGCTCCTCTCCTGTGGAACCAACTACCAGTTTTAGTCCGTGAGGCAGACACCCTGTCTACTTTTAAGGCTAGGCTTAAAACTTTCCTTTTTGATAAAGCTTATAGTTAGAGTGGCTCCGGTTATTCTGAGCTATCTCTATAGTTATGCTGCTATAGGCTTAGACTGCTTGAGGACATAGGGACCCCTTTTCATTATTATGCTTCATTCTCCCACTCTGCAGTATATATTAGTTCAACTCTAACTGTCATACAAATGGGACAGATGGACAGAGTATTCAGGCGAGTCAGACAGTGGAAAGTTTAAAAACGTTAAACGACCAAAAAAGAAATAACAACAGAACAGAAACGGAACATGGGCTGCTGTTGTCATGATTTTATCAAGAGCTCAGACCCACATGCAGAGAAACCAATTCAGAGAGACCAGGGGAAAAAGTTTAACAGGTTTATTGAGGAGATAATGCAGAATGAAGTGTTGCTCTGAACACTGCTCAACCGGAACTGAAAAGTGAGGGGAAGACACAGTGGTTAGTTCAGGCTCAGTGGGAAATTTGATTTGTGAACTTGAAGAGGAGGATTTGGTTGCTGACTCACGTTTCCAGATAAGTTGTTGACTCTTTGACTCCAGTCTGTGTGCTGTTGTTCCAGTCTTTGTCTGATTCGGTGGAGTGCAGAACAGGGTTTACCCAGAATGTGGTTGTTTGTAGGTGAACGGAGGAGCTGACTGCCACTCAGATTTCCTGCGGTACTTGAACGGGTCGTAGTGGAGATGAATCCCTTGCTCAGTGTGAAGCTCAAACGATCTCTTGGGGAAAGTAGATTCAAACCTCCAGTTTAAATCCTTAGCTCAGTTTGAGGCTCAGATGATCCTTCCAGGGAGAGAAGGTCCAAAACATCCAGTTTGCAGGATGACTTCCTGCCGAGAGGTAAAAACAAAAACAAAAAAACAAGATAAAGACTCAGGTTGACAAGAACTTTGTTTGACTCAGCAAAACTCAGCTTGGCTAGAGTACCCAAAACTGGCAAACACTCTGGCGTCGAGGAAGTAGCAGTCAGCAGCTTAAGAGCGCTCCGTTAATAAGGTAACCATCTGCAGGTGTGTGAGGAGGCGGACCAGAACCAGGCGCCATCTAGAGTGTCCCTGATGCAGCAGCCCCAGTGAGCAGCAGAAGACCGATACAGGCCAGGGAAAAAGTTTAGGACAGGACAGTTCTGATATCCAGGAGTCTGTAGCCCGAACAGGGGTTCAGATCCAAAAAGGAACTGACAGATCCAGGGTTCCAGGAATCCTCAGAGGGTTCAGGCAGGTTCAGCACGAGCTCAGACAGACACACTCAGATGGAGACAGGCGGGCCCAGTGGTTGAGAGGGACAGAGACAAGACATGGTACCAGGAGAGTTGGGACTGGGAATCCAGTGCTGTTGGCCAGCCTCATTCATTACTTATACAGGTTAATCACCTTTTCAAGAAATCAACAGCTGTTTTCTCATGATAACTGGATAATTATCTCGTTATCTCCAGAAAAAAATAATGGTTTAACCGTGATAGCGAGATAGGTATGTCATTAACTCCAGAAAGCAAAGGAAAAAAAAGTCAAGTACGACAGCTCTCGGCTTCCGCCGAAAATTGCCTGATGTTGCACTTGTTTAATTTGAACATCAGGTATTTTCCTAATAACATTCCGATTTATTTAGGCAATAATAACAGGCAGGCATGTAAATCCAACAATTCTTCTGATCATCACATTTCTATGCCTGCAAGTCAGACATCCCAAGTCTCCGGGGAGTTCCGGTAGTCTACCTGATATAGATAGTTGTTCACGGATGCCCACGAGTCAGATAAATTATCCCGGATTTTAGACTATGTGAGGTGGTGTTCTTTTAATGCGAGTGAGAGCAGGCAGATAATACAATAATTCATGCATCATGTGCGGATAAGAACTACTGGTTGATCAGACGGCTGATTGGATGAGTCTGAAAAGTTTCTCTAAATTACTCTTTGGCAGCCACCTAGTTACCACTCCAAGCTGTGCATCCTGGGAAACGGCAGAGGTTGAATCCTCAAGTAAAAAATGAAAATATTGGACTAATTTGAAAGCAGAATATACTAAAGTATATCCATGTCTAGTGAAGGTGAGGAACAGAGGCGGATCTAGACCAAATATAGCAGGGGACAAGGAGGGGGCCAGCGTGTTTTCATGGGGGCCCAGAAAAGCATGAAATAAAAACAGGGCAAGAGATTCAAATATATTCAAATAGAACCTAATTTCTTTTCAATTAGGTTCAATAAAAATTCTATTTCTTATGAGGTCAATATACATTTATAATTTAGAAATTTTACATATTTTCGACTTAATTTAAGGTAAAACTACTGTTTTCTATAAAATTTGAATTAAACTCAATAAAAACTGTCAAATTCATCTGTAAAAATTTTAGCATCTTTTTTTTTTTATTTCTTGTGAAACAAAAACAGATGAAAACTGGGATCATATCTCAATACCCCTGAAGCTATCACCTTATTGTTTTTTAATAATTAGTAAAACAGAATTTAAGCATCTCCCTGAAATGAGTTTTTGGAACTTGGGATGTCTGGCAAGTAGACAAAACAGCCTTATTTAGTGGAAATCTAAAATATCAAAACTAGTTATATTTTTTTTTACAAAAAAGAGATGTCTGAAGAACTACCCTATCTTTTTTTATAATTGCTGTGTGTAAAAGAAATACGGCGTAGCTTTCACCTGATTGGACAGTTCACTCAAAGGACAGCCCCCCGAAGCTTCTGATTGGGTATCTTTAAATGACGTCAGACACAGCATACCCGGAAGTATTCAGACCGGCGCGCAAATGAAAAGTTATTGAAAAGGAATGGCTGAAGCCTCTGGCTCCAAGTCTAAACTTAAGCGAAAGAAGAGTTGTGTGGAGGAGCAGCAGGCAGACATCTGCTCCCGGATAACACCGAAGAGGAGCGGAGTTGGTCAGCCGTCCACAGACGGAGCAACGGGCGCTGACAGGTCAGGCTGCTCCTAAACATGGCGGAACGTTTTAAAAGCAAACTACGTTATTTATGGTCTGCTTCTGGATGGTGGTCTCTGCAGAGCAGCCGGAGAGCTGACTGGCCGTCTCTCTAATTGACTGCAGTTCTAATGTAACTTTATCTTATTTAAAAAGATGGCTCCTCCGCCTACATACTGTGCATTTAGTTAAAGCCTGAAAATAAATCACATTATTTGGCTTTAAAAAAAGCCTCTTATTACTTAAAAGCCCTTCATTGTGACTGAAGTGAAAAGAGTCATTACCAGTTAGAACACATCCAGTTTTCTACTGTATACTTTGGTCAGTTAGTTACTGGATGTCGTTTGTAAAGTTAGCCAAAAATAAGGAGCAATATTCTTGGTTATTCAGCATCTTTTAAAGGAAATGTCCGGTCAAATTCAGAATTCAAACTATTATGTTACATATTATTCAATAATTGATAAGTGTTTTTAATTAGGAGTAATTTTCATTTGAATGTGCTTTACTGGAGGCACCCATGTTCATCACAGAACACTACTGCCACCTACTGGTTTGTGGCGTCACGGTGCAGTATCGGCTATTGATCAAGTCCTAGTATGGCAAGCCTTTTTAACATAAATTCGGTTTCGTCTGACCATCCATAATTACGTTCCAGATATCCTAAAATACATTTTGACAAAACAAAACCACATTTTGACTATCCGGAATGGTAATTTAAAGGGATAGTTCGGTATTTTTGACATGAATCTGTATGGCATCCCCATCACCAGTGTCATGCAATCACACTGACTTACCCCTGGCAGCGTCCTGTGAGCAGAGTTATCGTCCAGTTTTGGTCAAGCCGAAAGTAGTCCGGCAGGTTTTTAGGAACAGCGAAATAAAACGTTTCTCTTCCCAAAACATTATGTGTTCAAAAGAGTAATATTTTTGCATCCCAAAAACGTTGTAGTGGAAAAAGTCACACGTCGTTATCACTTGGTCCTATTTTCTCTCTGTTCGTATAACAACAGCCCATGCATCTGGCTGTTGTCAGGTTAGTAGGCCCTAGCTGTCAGGTCATGGTGTCGCGCGCACTGATACGAACAGAGAGAAAATAGGACCAAGTGATAACGACGTGTGACTTTTTCCACTACAATGTTTTTGGGATGCAAAAATATCACTCTTTTGAACACATAATGTTTTGGGAAGAGAAACGTTTTATTTCGCTGGGTCTAGCAAACCTGCCGGACTACTTTCGGCTTGACCAAAGCTGGACGAGAACTCTGCTCACAGGATGCTGCCAGGGGTAAGTCAGTGTGATTGCATGACACTGGTGATGGGGATGCCATACAGATTCATGTCAAAAATCCCGAACTATCCCTTTAAGATATCTGTATTTACATTCTGATTAGGAAGAATAATAATTCAAGATGTCTTAAATTACATTTTGACTAGTCAAAATTCCTTTCAAGATATCTCAAATTTCGCACCGAAATTTCATTTACTTTTCCTCCTGTGGATTAAACTCACAGTAAGGATTTTTTTTTAGGAATGAACCTCCTGGAAACCCATTAAAAAGATCATGACACATTCTGACTGGTCAGAATGTCAATTTGAGATATCTTTAATGGAAAAACTGAATAATTAAAGATATCTTTAATTCATTTAGAGATATCTTAAAAGGAATTTCGAATATCTTTAAATTTGTTTTGTCTAGTCATTATTTGCTTTTAAGATATCTATAATGGAGTTTTCACTAGTATATCATATACATATCTCCTATCCTAAAATACATTTAAGATAGCATGAATTATTGTGGCAAGATATTTGAGATATCTTTAATTAGAATTATGACTAGTCAAAACTAAAATCGAGATATCTTGAAATTACTTTATGACTAATCGTAATTTAATCATGGATATCTGAAATGTGTATTTCAGATAGTCAGTAATTCATTCTAGATATCCTAAATTGACTTCTCCATACAAGTTAATGGTAAATCTGACGTCATTTCGAATAGTCAGAATGTAATTAGAGATATCCCGAATAGGTATTTTGACTAGTCAAAATATAATTAGAGATAACCTAAATCGCTAAAACGTCTAGTCATTAAAACAATTTGAGATATCTTGAATGGAAAGGAGGCACAACCGAATTTATGTTAAAACTGCTTGCCATAGCCCCAGTGCTGTATCTGGTGTTTGTCACAATGTGCCAGGTTCGGCATGGTAATCTGTGATACCGGCCAGTCCTAATTTCAGCGTGCGAAGGCCGGCGGCCCTCCTTACATCCTACCGGCCCCAACACTTCCTCTCCATCCGAAGCTCCTACCTGTGACGGTAAATAACTCAAGGAACTCAAGAAGTAATCCAATGTTAACTACCTAAATGATGCATGCAGTATATATAGTAGGGGTGTAAATCACATCCACCATGGCGATGCGATATAGTATCGATTTCCTGACTATACGATTCGATTATTTTCGATACTTAATAATACACCACGATACGATTCGATTCGATTAATTGTTTAATTTTTTTTTTTTAACACCTTACAGGTGTTTCAAATTTGAAATAAATCAATGAAAGCTGTAATATAGTTATGCATTTTTTTTTTAGAAACAACAGCAAATAACAGACGTAGAAAAGTTGCACTCCACCTATTCCTATTAAAACCTCATTCACTGAAAAATAATAATACCCCTGCGTTATAGATTCTGAAAGAACTTGCATCAAAAAATACTGAACAAAATCAGTGCAATGAGTGCAATGCAATACCTCGGTTCCAGACGTCCCGCCCCCTCCACAGACGCTCCGCTGCTCCTCTCCCAGATTGTAGCTGACCGCAGACAGGAGGCCGGCTTGTTCTGTTTTTATGACCGAAATTGCGGAAAACAACTCGTGAAGTTTGACCCGCTAGAAGAGCGAGGTGCGCGAGAACGCTGGGAGCATTTTTCCGCCTGGATCTCCGCTCTTTTTGGCCCTCATGTCCCTCCGTCGTCGGACTAAACTCGCCCCCACTTCCTCGCCGCCTCGGCCGTATCTAGACCCACAGCGTGTAGCACAGACCACACTTCAATATTGAGCATAATTTTAAAATGTCTGTGTCAAGCTCACTGCAACACACTGCTGTAAGAGTATAACCAGGAAGCGAGGTAGGAGGGCAAAATAGGTTTAGCGCCACCGCAGCACGGGAGGAGAATTACGCCCAGGAGCAAATGGATAAAAATAGACCAGAGGAAGAAAAAAAACATGATTCGATTCTCTTGCGGACGTATCGATGAATTGGATCGTCGGCTGATGGATCGCTGCATCGATACAAAATGATTATTATTTACACCCCTAATACAGGTGCTGGTCATAAAATTAGAATATCATGAAAAAGTAGATTGATTTCAGTAATTCCATTTAAAAAGTGAAACTTGTATATTATATTCATACATTACATACAAACTCATATATTTCAGATGTTTATTTTGTTTAATTTTGATGATTACAAATGACAACAAATGAAAATCTCAAATTCATCATATCAGAAAATTAGAATATTGTGAAAAGGTTCAAAATTGATGGCCCCTGGTGCCACACTCTAATCAGCTAATTAACTCAAACCACCTGCAAAAGCCTTTAAATGGTCTTTCAGTCTAGTTCTATAGGCTACACAATCATGGGGAAGACTGCTGACTTGACAGTTGTCCAAAAGACGACCATCGACACCTTGCACAAGGAGGGCAAGACACAAAAGGTCATCGCTAAAGAGGCTGGCTGTTCACAGAGCTCAGTGTCCAAGCACATTAATAGAGAGGCGAAGGGAAGGAAAAGATGTGGTCGAAAAAAGTGTACAAGCAAGAGAGATAACCGCACCCTGGAGAGGATTGTGAAACAAAACCCATTCAAAAATGTGGGGGAGATTCACAAAGAGTGGACTGCAGCTGGAGTGAGTGCTTCAAGAACCACCACACACAGACGTATGAAAGACATGGGTTTCTGCTGTCGCATTCCTTGTGTCAAGCCACTCTTGAACCACAGACAGCGTCAGAAGCGTCTTGCCTGGGCTAAAGAGAAACAGGACTGGACTGCTGGTGAGTGGTCCAAAGTCATGTTCTCTGATGAAAGTAAATTTTGCATTTCCTTTGGAAATCAAGGTCCCAGAGTCTGGAGGAAAAGAAGAGAGGCACTTCATCCACGTTGCTTGAAGTCCAGTGTAAAGTTTCCACAGTCAGTGATGGTTTGGGGTGCCATGTCATCTGCTGGTGTTGGTCCATTGTGTTTTCTGAGGTCCAGGGTCAACGCAGCCACATACCAGGAAGTTTTAGAGCACTTCATGCTTCCTGCAGCTGACCAACTTTTTGGAGATGCAGATTTCATTTTCCAACAGGACTTGGCACCTGCACACAGTGCCAAAGCTACCAGTACCTGGTTGAAGGACCATGGTATCCCTGTTCTTAATTGGCCAGCAAACTCTCCTGACCTTAACCCCATAGAAAATCTATGGGGTATTGTGAAGAAGAAGATGCAATACACCAGACCCAACAATTCAGAAGAGCTAAAAGCCACTATTAGAGCAACCTGGGCTATCATAACACCTGAGCAGTGCCACAGACTGATCGACTCCATGCCACGCCGCATTGCTGCAGTAATACAGGCCAAAGGAGGCCCAACTAAATACTGAGTGCTGTACATGCTCATACTTTTCATGTTCATACTTTTCAGTTGGCCAACATTTCTATAAATCCTTTGTTTTTATTGGTCTTCAGTAATATTCTAATTTTCTGATATGATGAATTTGAGATTTTCATTTGTTGTCATTTGTAATCATCAAAATTAAACAAAATAAACATCTGAAATATATGAGTTTGTATGTAATGTATGAATATAATATACAAGTTTCACTTTTTAAATGGAATTACTGAAATCAATCTACTTTTTCATGATATTCTAATTTTATGACCAGCACCTGTATATAGCCCTTCCTTGTCATGCTCATCCTTGTGACAGTTGGCATATGGTGCAATTTTCTAGTTCTTCAAACTGTTAAATCCTTGCAACAAACTAAATTATAATAAACTAAAATGCTTTCTTTAAACCAAACTACAATGTTCCTCTTATATTTGACAAATTTATGTTTTGCAAAATATTTTGAGGTGCGTGATGGGGTTTTGCATCTAAAGATGTTACTATATTTGGGCGAAAATGGCCGCTCCTAGACTGTGATCGCAATGAAAATATTATTTTTATTTTTTACTAATTAACACTAAATTCATTAAATCACTGAAAATGTATTAATTTTAGGTATAAATAATGATCCATTGATTATTCCTTGCAGACCGGACTTTTCCATTAAAGGGCAGCAGTGATGGCTTTAAAGATGCCAGATTATTTTCATTGTCATTCACAGTCCATAGGACAGAAACGCTTTTGGTTATAATGACAATGTTTTCAGAATTGTTTAGGTTCAGGATTGAGCCTTTTTTCATTTTATTCAAAAAGATGAGCGAGTCTGTAAAATACATGGTCTGTTACTTCCAGCTGCCCCAAACCTGCTTCTTCTTCTCCATAAATTTTATTTTCCACTCCTCTGATATATTCAGAAGATCTTCTACATCTCTGACTGACTTCACAAAAGGAGCCACAGTGTTCCAGATCAAAGAGCAGCCTTATGAATAACTTAAAGCCTAGATTAAAAATGCATCGACAATCATTTAAAAAAACAAACTTAAATTTTAGTCTTTTTCCTAAACCTTAAAAAGTCTGAAGTGGATCACATTTTTTGCTAATAATCAGGCATGAAGCAGGTTATTTAAATGAAGAGTGAGTTTTTTTTCCAGCTTTGTAATGCATGTCTGAACTGGTTTCAGGTCTTGGCTCCCTGCAGCAGCAGCATGGTGGAACCAACTGCAGCCCCCTGCTGTGGAGAGCCTGTGGGCGTTCACACTGATGTCTGCTCTGCCATACCTGCAGAACCAGCGCTGGGATCAGGTTCCTGATCTTCCCTCTCCTCCCGCTGAGGTAAGTCAGCATAGGCCGCCTCTGCAGTGGATACGTTTACAGACACATTAGACAAATTAATCATTAACATTCAGACTTCCCAGGGGTTCACAATTCAAATGTAGAGCTCAACCAGTTAGAAGTTCTAAGACCTTTTTTTTCCTTTGTTACAACTTCAGCTAATATTTCTATTATACATTAATGCAAAATCAGATCAGAAACGATGCAAATTTCATCATTAGGAGCTCAGTCACAGACCATGTGACCTCCTAGGTGTAAACCGGAGGTCTTCATCAGGGGGTCCCCGACCCCTAGGGGTCCACAGAGGTACTGCATGTGGGTGACGAAAGTTTTGGTTGATTACTTTCTTTTTTATAATCCCCGCTGCTATTCCTTTCACTAACTGAAATGTCTTTAAATCCACATTAACATGAATTCAACAGACTGTAGTAAACAGATAAATGGAAGCAGAAGATGTCTTTCAGACAGGAGCTCTTTCAAACTGGGCACAGTTTCATTCACAACACCTGTCCCATCAACCAGGAATCAGAAATACTTTAATAATCCCAGGGAGGGATTACTTTAGTTACATTACTCCATCTGTAATAGAGAGACAATAGAACCAGTTTGATAGAACACGATTTCATACCATATATATAATTAGGGGGTCCCGCTCCATCTTGCCATCAGTTTGGGGTCCTCGGCCTGGAAAACATTGAAATGCTGCATTTAGGGCTGCAACAACGAATCGATAAAATCGACTTTTAAAAGCGTTGGTAACGAATTTCATCACCGGTAAGTTGTGTCGCGCGATTAATGCGTCATCCGCCGCCGCCGTCGTCATTGCCGTGGGGCGCCTCCCCCATCCCAACTCCGCTCCCGCAGGAGTCCCTCTCAGCGCTGCAGTCAGAGGATGTTTACCCTCAGCGTCCAGACTGCAAATGAAGCGCGCATGCGTCGGGATTGACGGCTGCAAATTGATCACAATAATTAAAATAGCCTGCGCTTTGTAAAGCGAAAAAAGTCGTAACATGCAACTTTTGTAAAAACAAATTAACATGGCAGGGAAGCATCGCTGTTATGATGCAGCACCTGAAAAGGAAACACGTTGGAGCCTTTGATGGCAGTGAAGAGAGCTGATCAGCAGGGTGAGCGACCATGTTTGTTTGGTTTTAAAGTGGGGAAACGTAACGTTAGTTTCTCAGGTAGCTCATCTGATGCTTTCCTTACCGTGTTAGTAGGTTACAGACAGTTGGCTACTTATTTTACTTTTAATTTCATTTGAATTAGCTTAAGCAGCGTTTATATTTACTTTATAAATAAATTAACTTGCAAATAATGAGGGCAAGGCTTTTAAAGTTTAAATCTTCTGGCAAAGATAAAGTAAAGAAGATCCTGCAATTTATGGAAGTAAAGCAGAATAAAATCCAGCAAGATCAGTAATATGTCAATTATTTATCTGCCACATTCCCATGTAAATATCTGTCTTTGGAGGATGTGTTTTTTAGCACCCCTAGTTCTCTCATTTTTATTCCAAATACAATTTATAATTTGAATCACAGGGCTATTTTTATCTCTATGGTTCAGTATTTTCTCAAGTAGCAACTTTAACTGCTATACTTTCCTGTCTTAAAAGGCAGAACTCTTCTAGTCTAAAAAAAACTCATTTGTTGAAATGGGGGGGCCTATTGTTTGAGCCCCTTAGGGGCTTTAAAAAACAAAAAAAGTCTTTTTTTGCGCTTTATGAAACAAAGTAGCCTATATTTTGTGGATGTCTTTCTACATTTCTCATGTAAGTTTGCGTAGTTTTAACACAAACATTTATTTTTCATATTGCACCAGTACAGTTAATGAGCAACCTGTACTTGTGTGCTTGTTTGTTCTGTCTAAAATGTTTATTTTGGAATAAAGAGGTTAGTATAAAAAATATTTTTTATCCGATTCATCGATTAATCGAAAAAATAATCGGCCGATTCATCGATTTTTAAAATAATCGTTAGTTGCAGCCCTAGCTGCATTGCACCCTGCATAAAGACGTACAGAGATGAATGAGAGCAAATGTAGTACTACAGGTTGTAGTACACAAATAATTGCTTTCTGGGTGTTGTTGAAATAAGAATAAAATAAAGGGGAAAAAATTGTATTTTTTAATTTTAATAATCTCATAATAAAGAAATTAACTGCCTTAGAGACCAAGAGTGGCAGTCTGTGGGAGTGGGTTTCAAACTCACAACCTCAGGATTCCAAGCCCTTTGCACTAACCACTAGGCTGCCAGACCCCCTAAGATTTGCACCCAACATGCGGCTTTTCGCTTTTGGGTTCTTGTTTGATTTATAATTAGTTCATATTACAAACACTAGCGTTGTTATTAGTATGTTAGTAGTAATAGTAAGTTAACAGTAAGGCTGGGATTCTATCTAATCATTTAAAATACTACATAGTAAAAATACTCATTCCATTGGCAAATTATCTCACACTTAATTTAAGAAATGTTTACTTATTTCTTGATCATTGTTCCAGTGTACTGATCAGCCAGTGACTCTGATGAACTGAGCAGATGGAATAAAGTAGGACAGGACCTCATTGTTGGTAGAATCATTTAAATGATGAACAAACAAGCTCCTCTATTAAAGGTAGAATTATGAAGAATGAATTTTCTTTCCCTGTAGGAACCTACAGCAGCAGAAGCAGGGGAGCAGTGGAGAGTTGATCTCTGTAGTGAAGTTCCTCCCTTTCCAGAACAAAGTCCACCACCCTCACCATCGGGTTTGGATCGTCAGAGCTTTTCGTCGTCTCAGGATAGTGTCCCAGTTCAGACCAGAGGCCCATCCTCCACCAGCAGACCAGGTCCAAGTCAGAGGCCGACTGGCCACCGGTGGGACAAAGCAGCGTCCTCTTCCTCAGGACAGCAGAGGCCCAGAGATCAGGAGCAGCAGAGCGAACGGCTCCAAACTCAGTTTGAAAAGGTTTTCAACCAACCGATTTCTACATGTGAAGAGAAGGAAAAGATGCAGAGTGTTAAAGAAGAAGAAGCTCTGCAGAGCTGCCCCATGTGTCTGCATGTGTTCCCTGCTGGGTAAGAGCTGCTCTTCATGTTTTATTCAAAAAATACAGAAAAAGAAGAACATCAGTCCAGCTGAATGAATCATTATTAAATGTTAGAGTGAGCAGAATAAACGCTGAGCTGGTCAAACGCCCTCAGGTCCAGAACCCCCCAGGTCTGAGTAAGGCTTATTTAACAACCAGGAACCTTTTCAGTCCAATAGACCAACCAAGAAAATAATTAATTTCAGTTTTAGGACGAAACCTAATCCTGCTTAACGGGATGAATCTCATAATTTGAGTTTTAAAGCGGTGATAGAACAATTCTATAGGGTATCTGGTCCTTCGGGTCTCTGAATAGGGTGTGTAACATTGGTTGGGCTGAAAATGGCATATTAGCTGTTCTATGAGCCCTAATGCAGCCTGGTTAAAAGCCCTAGAATGAAACGACAGGTTTTCTTCCTTTTATGGTATGATCATGAATATTTAGATGAGCTGTGCTCTGATTGGTTGGTTTGCAACGAGCCAAGCTGCTGAGCAAAGACGCATCATAGCAACAAGCACTCACCCACTGAAACATTAAATTGTTGATATGGTAGGGTGACCAGACGTCCTCTTTTTCCCGGACATGTGCAACTTTTCATACCTAAAAAAATGTCCAGGGGGAATTTCAGAATTGTCCGGGATTTTGGTAGACTCCAGTGTGACATAACCGAGCCGTCAGCTCCGGGGCTGTTCCCGGCCCTCAGGACGGGTGTCTCATGTCTCTTTGCTGACGTCCAGTCCAGTCAGCGGCCCAGCGGTCGACACTTTGCAGAGGGTTGGGTCTCATTGGTAAAATCCTTGCATTTTCTCTTCCACTCCCACTGTGACATCATCCACCAGAATTTACTGCAGCTTTTTGAAAACAAAAGTCAGACAGTTTAAACATTAATGGATTTAGCTGCAGTTTTTCCTCAAACCTCATTTAAAACTGTGACATTAGAAACTGAGCCCGGACCAGCAGATGGTCTGGTTCTGTTCTGGTCCTGGTCTGGGTTTGGTTATGGTTCTCTCATGGTTTAGTTCCGGTCTGGTCCTGGCTCCGATCCCGGTCTGGTTCCATTCATGGTTCTGGTCTGGCTTTTGGTACTGGTATGGTCCCTGTCTGGGTCTTGTGTGGTTCCGGTCCGGTTTCTGGTTGGGTCTTGATCCCAGTCTGGTTCAGATCTCATCCTTGTTCCGGTCTGGTCCTGGTCCATGTTTGGGTCTTGTCCCATCCTGGTCCCAGTCTGGTCCTGGTCATGGTTCTGGTTCTGACCCATGTCTGGTTCCGGTCTGGTTCTGGTTCCGGTTCCGGTTCCAGTCTGGTCCTGGTTTTGTTCAGGTCTTGATCTTAGTCTGGTGCTGGCCATGGTGCTGGTTCTGACCCATGTCTGGTTCCAGTCTGGTTTCGGTTCCAGTCTGGTCCTGGTTTTGTTCAGGTCTTGATCTTAGTCTGGTGCTGGTTCTGACCCATGTCTGGTTCCAGTCTGGTTCTGGTTCCGGTTCCAGTCTGGTCCTGGTTTTGTTCAGGTCTTGATCTTAGTCTGGTGCTGGCCATGGTGCTGGTTCTGACCCATGTCTGGTTCCAGTCTGGTTTCGGTTCCAGTCTGGTCCTGGTTTTGTTCAGGTCTTGATCTTAGTCTGGTGCTGGTTCTGACCCATGTCTGGTTCCAGTCTGGTTCTGGTTCCGGTTCCAGTCTGGTCCTGGTTTTGTTCAGGTCTTGATCTTAGTCTGGTGCTGGCCATGGTGCTGGTTCTGACCCATGTCTGGTTCCAGTCTGGTTCTGGTTTTGTTCAGGTCTTGATCTTAGTCTGGTGCTGGTTCTGACCCATGTCTGGTTCAAGTCTGGTTCTGGTTCCGGTTCCAGTCTGGTTCTGGTTTTGTTCAGGTCTTGATCTTAGTCTGGTGCTGGTTCTGACCCATGTCTGGTTCAAGTCTGGTTCTGGTTCCGGTTCCAGTCTGGTTCTGGTTTTGTTCAGGTCTTGATCTTAGTCTGGTGCTGGCCATGGTGCTGGTCTGGTTCTGGTCCGCTTCGTCGGCAGGTCCAGGTATTCGGTTTCTGGTCTGTGGGAGTGATCTGACGGGCGTCTAAAACTACAGTCGCTTTCCTGCAGCTCAGGTTGTCATGGCAACGAGACGTTCAGGGCAGACTGAGTCTTTTTAAATCTCAGCCTTTGGGACATAAAGCAGCTGTTGTTCCATAGCAGCTAACGCTGAGCTAGCTTCAGCAGCAGACTCTGCCTTTCATCATTTAACTGAAGGTAAATTAGTCGTGTTCAGAACAGAGATGACAATATGGCCGCCACTCAGACATACTCCAATCAGCGCTGGAGTCTTTGGTCTGTTTGAAGACTCGTTTTCTCATCCAACACTTGTGCTTGTTCTCGCCTCCTCAGGTTCACACAGATGGAGCAGGACAGCCACCTGGCCCAGTGTCTCTCCATGATGAATGAGGACATGACCTGGTGAGACGACGGGAAGCTGGCCGCCGTCCCGGACCTCCGTATCCCGACACTCTCCAGGATCCAGTCAGACGGAAGAGGACGTGGTCAGAGTGCAGCACCTCCAAGGCTTCGTTTGATTTACTGAGCTGCTGACACTTTCCACTGAGAACCCAGCGGCTCGGCGCTGATGGAGAATTAATGAGGGGAGATGTTTGAAGCTCCCAAACATTAGGAGACGTCTGTTGGCTCTGACTGATTGTTTCCACTGAGGTGGAGAACATTTAAATCAGACTTTGGTTTTACCTGTTTCCCTCTCAGCCATCTGTCACATTAAGGCTGGTTCTGGAATCATCATCATCAGCTGCTGGAGAGGTCGCCGGGGGAAACATGAGGTCCAATCAGAACCTCAGTTTGGTTCTGGCTCATTCAGCAGCAGCGCTGGATCAGTCCTGCTAAAGCAGAATGTTCCGGGGCCTCAGCTTCTGTACTGATGGCTGGACACGGAACATCAGTTGATGAAGGACAGCAGCCCCAGACATCATACTGCCACCACCATGTTTGACTGTCAGCATTTTGTTCTGGTTCTGAAATGCGGTTAGTTTTTTAGATGAAACCGGACCAGCAGTATGTTCCTTTGTTCCATTCCACTGAATCTTTGGGTTTTTTTTTTAGCAAATGTGAGCCGGGCTGCTGTGTTCTTTTGGGTCAGCAGGGGTTCTGGACTTGGAGCTCTCCCATAAAGTCCGTTAAATCTTGAACACTGATGAAGTTTTATCTGCAACATTTAAACGTGACAAAGACCAGTTAACTTTGTGTGCTCATGGACAAACTTTGGAGACGGGGACCGCGGATGGTTCCTAGGTCGGTGGAGGAGGGTCTTCTCCCCCGTCGTTCTCCCAGTTTGTTCACAATGAAGATAAACCATTTGTATTTTTCGTTATTTATGCCATGTATGTTTGGTTCTTCCATTTTCTTGTTTAATTCAATTCAATTCAATTCAGTTTATTTATATAGCGCCAAATTCACAACACATGTCATCTCAAGGCACTTTACAGTTCAACCAGATCATACAGTCAAATTGATACAAAGTTTTCTATCTAAGGAAAACCAGTTGATTGCATCGACTCATTGACTCAAATACAATCCCCCACACTAAGCATGCTTGTAGCGACAGTGGAGAGGAAAAACTCCCTTTTAACAGGAAGAAACCTCCAGCAGAACCAGGCTCAGTGTGAGCGGCCATCTGCCGAGGCCGACTGGGGTCAAGGAGACAGAAGCAGAGATACAAAAAGCAGCTGTAAAAGGCGGCCCTGTCCAGGAAACACGCAGCCAGGCAGACGAGCTCCAAGGCAGCTCCCATGCCAGAGGACGAAGAGAGCACATCCACTCAGTCACGGTCAGAGAAACAGGACCACACTGGAAAACAGGCCGATCTCCAACATCTATAAACAAGGGTGTTGATAGAAGCAGCACAGCTGATGTTTCTTTCCAGGATGACGTCACAGCAATTTACAATACGCAGTTTACAATACTTTACTTTTAATTCCCTTTCTTTTCCATTTCTATGATCCTTAAATCTGACATCAACTGACAGCAGGAAGATATGAGGCAACAAAATCTGAAGTTCTTTGTTTAACCTGAAACTTAAAGTTCCAGAATAAAAATGTCTATTATTCAAAATAAAAAGAATAAGATTTTCAATGTCACTGATCCTTTTTACTGTTATTTATTTCAATGACTGACTCATTTTTAAAGGATGGGTTTTAGAATGTTAGGTCTCTATATATATATATATATTAGGGATGGAGCGGTTTATGAAAACCATCCGAACCGTTCGGTTCGACTGTCTCGGTTCGGTTCGCGTGTGTTTCGTTCGGTTCATGCGCTGCTCCTTTTTCTCATAGGTGAAGCGATTACACTCCAGAGCAGAAGGTGGCGGTACTGCGACCAAAGCCAACCACCAGTAGTAAACAAGAAGAAGAAGAAGCGAAGCAGCTTAGCCGGGTGTAGCAGAATAAAATCAGTTGTTGTGGAGAATTGTGTGGGTATGGCGAGTGGGAAAGAACAGGAGTTGGAAGACGCGCCAGCAGCACTTTATAGGTCTGCTGTATGGGACCACTTTGCATTTAGAGTGACCTACGATGACGGCGGGAAGAAAGTTGTGGATAAAAGTGCAACAGTGTGCAAGCATTGTGCAACACGCTTTGTTTATGCTAACAGCAACATGACCAACATGTCAGGCTAACCCCGATATCCCGCTCCAGACCGGCTGCTCAAAGCAAAGCCTACAGCCTCCGCTGTGGCTCCCATCCTCTCCGCTCTGAGTTCCTTGGAGATCGTAGAGAGCATGCGCCAGATGATTAAATTCAAAGCAGCAAAACATGCGGAAATGATCCAGGGTTTCCACTGATCATTAAAAATAATTACAATCCATAAATTTTTTTGGATTTTTTCCTTAATTTCATTCATTTTTATGGTAACAATCAACATATACTGAACCGAAAAACCGTGACCACGAAACCGTGAATCGAACCGAACCGTGGATTTTGTGAACCGTTCCACCCCTAATAAATAAATAAATATATATATATTATATTTACAAGATATCTTCCAAGTTTAACTGATTTAGCTCCATATATTTGGTCCCCATAAAGAACAGTTTGTCCTCACACTGCTTTAAAGTTTAAACCCTCTACACACACACACAGAACGTTGTCACCTTTTTTTGTTGGAGCATACATAGTCTGTATTAAAAGGGGAAGAGTGAGGGGTTAAGGTAGACCAATCACAATCATGAGCGCAGAAAGGAGAGCGCATATATCTCCTCATTTTACAGAAATATGAAGACAAAAAAAGTGTAGGTGAAGATTCAAACACAGTGGCAGCAAAAAGAAAGACACCAAATATCGAGGCAAAGAATTGCTGCTTCAGTAAATTAGCAAATTCCATTCAGTTTATTTCTATAGCATCAATTCTCATCACATGTCATCTCAAGGCACTTTACAGTTCACCAGATCATCCAGTCAGATTAAGTCAAAGTTTTCTATCTAAGGAAAACCAGTTGATTGCATCGACTCATTGACTCTTCAGCAATCCCTCACACTAAGATGCTTGTAGCGACAGTGGAGAGGAAAAACAACCTTTTTTTCCACACAATCCCAGTTTTCAGGTTCTTTCATTGTTTTGTTCTTTTTCCGTCTGAATTAAACCGGGACTTCAATAGAAAACCACGTCATTGTTTCCTGAACAGCTGATTGGCTGCTTTATGGAGCGTTTTCTAATATTCAGATTGATCCTTAAAGCTAGGCTAACGCGGAGCAGGTTTACTTTTCAGAGTATGTTACCATGGAAATACTCAGGATGAATCCAGCTTTGTGGTACCGGAGATTCAGGGTTAAACCTGAAGTTATCTCGCTAACCCAGTAATCCTGATTTAAGCAGCTGCTTCTTGTTTTGCAGGATTCTTCTTTTGTAGAAGTTTTTTTTTCTTTTTTCTAAAGCCATTTCCAGAGAAAAGCAGAATAGATGATTGTTGATATTGTCTAATGTTTTTATTAGTCCTTCCTATAAAACAATGATTAGAAATGCTGTAGTTAGTAAAGTGATCGGGGTACAAACAGCTGTTTCACCAGAGGTAATAAAAAATTTGTTGTTTCCCCACAGAGTAAAATGATTTAAAAGGTTTGGAATCATGTCTAACTACTAACAGCGTTTCCACAGGTGAGCGCTCTGATAGTTCTTTGTACAATTGATTCAACGAGATACAATTTAGCAGATGAGCTAGCAACAGCTGAAACCTGCTTTCTAGCTGCAGGTCGGCCATATTGGATTAAGATCTCAGGGCCGCAATGACTTTCAAAATCAGACTTTTCTCTTCTAGAGGCGTTCTTGATCCATTCCCAACAGATCCTCGACCACTGGACTCCTGACAACAAATAAAAACACCATAAACCGTTAAACTGAACCACAGTCAGCCAAAGGGACATCCCATTGGACAGCTAGCCGAAACACATCATCCGTCAGAGGCACAGTGACTTAGACAAGTTTTATTGTCATTTTGCATGTGTATGCAAAAAGACATTTCGTTCAGTAAAGCTTTCCAGACAGTAAAATAACATTTTCATTCAAAACAGCACCCTGAATGTCACAAAGCATCCATTTTACAGGTTTCATCTATGATCTGATTAAGTTTCATGTTTTTTTATCTCTGAACTAGTCTCATACGAAGAGCTGTTAACTCATCGCTGCCTTGATGAGCAGTACAAGAAAACAATGATATTAAATGTACCCAGCAGGTAAAATGAAAGTGGTTTAACCGTAAATAAGAGTGAAGCTCTGCTGGATTCTGGAGGTGTTAGCTTCACAGCAAACGCCGCTTTCCTCTTAATCAAGTTAATTGGCCGGGTCATTAGTAAAAGGCTTTTACTCCGACATGTTTGTGTTCACATGTGACATTCTTCACTGAGAACCGTCATGCTAAGAGTCTGTTGAAGAGACCCAGTGATCCTTCATCAACTGGCTAATTGACTCTGCAAGGCGCTTTTTAATCAGATCATCTGCCTCATATGGAGAAGCAGTGGTCAAAGCTCAGAGCTGCTGCTGGGAGCCATTACTGAACATGATCATTCAGGAAACGGGTCCTAACTGACGGATCCACTTCTGCCATCGTGGCTTTAGAAGATGGCGGCGCTGCATGCAATCAGAACGGCCTGTATGTTCAAATGCACTTATGATTGAACTGGACTGTAACTGGTTTAGAATGATATACGGCTGGAACTCTTAGTTTATGAAGGGAAAAGATAAAGAAAATAGGAGTAAAATAAAAACGATTTTTTTATTAACTTTTTGTAAACATGAATCAGCTGTGATATATTATATGGTTTATTTTAACCAGCCAGACCTGGACCAGATTACTGCCTGACCTGTAGAATAAACAAAACACTAAAATAAAACCTTTTAGGCAACGTAAAGAAGGTCATAGCATTTTATAAAGCAACGCACCATTTGTGGAGCCATTATTTATCAAGAAATCCAGAGGTAGAATGTCCATCCATCAGTCTGTGACATTAAGCTGAAGCAGACAGCAGGACATTGAGCCAGAGCCCAGCCAGGAAGCCTGCCTTTGAGTAAAAGGAAAAAGATTAAGGATGTAAGTTAAAGTCTAGATGCTGTGGCATGATCCTAAACATGGGATCCCAATAAAAAAATTAACTCCAATGTTGCAGGTTTACAACAGCTCTGCAAAGAAGAGGGTTTATGGGTTATGGAGCAGGTTATTTCTGCCAATGAGGGTGAAATAACTTAATAGATTAAATAACTTTTTCACATAGCCCCACGGAAATATACATTTGGGAGCTTTTTCTTTTTTAACCGCACTCAACATTTTACTAAAATAAAAATATTCTAAAGTAGGACTATGCTTACGATCTTGCCTCTCTTCCCATTGCGAATCATTTCACTTACTGTAAACAAACTTGTTCTAAACCAAAATGCATCAGGGAGACACTCACCTGCTTCTATTTTCTGCTTGGAGTTTATTGGTCTGTTGAGTCACTTGTGTGCCTTGGAGGTCATTGAAAAAAAAGTAAACAGTACACTGTAACTTACGGAAGAGGATTAGGGCCACTGAAAAAAAAAATGTTAACTGATTTTTTAATTTTATTTCAGTTTAGTATGGGAAAAAAGTCAGAATTCTGACTTTAATCTCAGAATTCTGACTGAATTCTGACAATAAAAAAGTCAGAATTCTTAGATTAAGTTAACTTATTCTTATTAAGTTAACTTAACCTATTCTAATGTGTGTACATATACATATCTATATCTATCTATATATATATATATATATATATTTATATCTATATATATATATATATATATATATATATATATATATATATATATATATATATATATATATATATATATATATATACATACTCACATACTATAACTAAATCACTTTTTTTTATTAAATCAGTTGA